ATGTCACTTTTATAGACGAATCCCCCCGGCCTCCCAGCCCGTTTCTTTTCCGGTACCTAATTGCGCTTGCGCCGCAACGCCCGGCTAAATAAATAAGAACTTAGGTTTAATGGCTACACAGGATATAATTATGTTTGTAGGTATTTGGAAAACTCCTTCCAAACGATTTGTATTTATATATTCAACTCGAAGGTTTAAACTGATAATTTCTAAAGGAAAATTGACAATTACATGTATACTTTTTCTACGAGAACCGACTCGAACCAGTGAACGACATTTCCAATTCTTGACTATCTAATTCTCTATCAGTTTTCCAGAAGCAGCGAAGCGCAAAACTTCGGTTAAGCGATATCCGAAGTCAGACGAGCGTAAAGCGGTTTCGTTCGAAAGCTTTACTTATGGGCAAGCGCACCGCATGAGTGAAAACCAGGGACGTGATTAGAAAAGTTGTATAAACTGGATATTGTATATTAACGGGAAATTATATATTATGGTAATGATATTGAGACAGGACTTCGTCTTAATAGCAGTGTTTACGTGTTATAAGGCTTGTGAGACATATTATAAATTGATTTTGTTTAGCGGTAAGATCAATTCGGACAAATGTTCGTCTTCTTTAACTTTAGACGAAAAAACACCAACATTACCTAACTATAAAAAAAAACAATAGAAAAGAGTGAAATCTTATTATTGTTGGAAAAGAAAATGTTTGTGAGTCACATTAATTTAATGCACTGTTACACATGATTTCCCGTCTACGTAGTCTGTGGGTAATTGACGACTTTCCTAAACCCAAGCTGTTCGTAGACCAAATCATTGGAATTGGCTTTCGTATTTGATTCTTTGTAAGATAGGGTCGATAAACGAGCTGAAGGACCTGGTGGTAAGCAATCAGTGCCGCCGGGACACTCGCCACACTGAATAGATATACGTTCTGGCAATTTGGGGGATAGAGACCAGATGGCAAGTGTTGTGCAAGAGAGTTAAAAATTGGGCCTCAAGTAACCTAAAAGGCTCGGCAAAACACAACGCAAATTTTGTTTAACGTTTTTGATACCTGTGAGGCCGTGGTATCACTCCGATGAAGCCGGGCCATTCGTGCCGAACCATTTGATTGGTCTCTCACACTTAATGGTATATCAGTTATATCTTTTTTTAGATTTACACTAGAAACTTTGTTCAATAAAAGACGTTTCAATATATTTGACTTCCAACATTAAATAAAATTAGATACAATGACAACTATTGTCCTTTTTCACGTAAGTTTTTGTGTATTTCGTTACGTGATAACACAACTACTTCTTACTTTTTATCTATACTAATATTATATCCAATGATATAAAGAGGTAAAATTTGTATGTTTGTATGTTTGTACGTTTGTAAGTTTGTATGTAGGGGGTAATCTTTGGAACCGCTGGTCGGATTGCCAAGTCTTTCAATAATAGATAGCTACAATGTTCCTGGGTGCTATAGGCTATAAAACATCACGCTACGATTAAATGGAGCTGAGCAGCGGGTGAAACCGCGCGAGAATAGCTAGTCCTTTATAAATTCATACGAACGTCCTCTTTTCCTAGCCAGCAAACTAGCATGCTTACGACCTACGAGTACAGTACCGTATTATTTTATAAAGGCTAGCAGTAAGCGGAATATTATATACCTTAGTCTAGATTTTCTAGATGCCTGTCTTCAAGACCTAAGTACAGGGTAGTGTGGTATTTCCTCGGATCTTAATTTCTATAGAGAACGTAAAAGATAGTACATGTATGTATATGTGTATGCTTAAATCTTTTAAACTGAACAAGACATTTGGAAGCTATTTTTAATTAGACAGTATGATTGAAGAGGAAGTTTATTATGTATAACAATATCCATTAAATAGAGGAACATTTTAATTTTCATTGCACTATTGCACCCGTGCGATGTAGGGGCAGTCACTAGTTATCAAAAATCTTAAGTATCCTCTCTGTCCAAAAAAATGGAAAAAGATCCAAATGATCTTTTACCAACATTTCTTTTTAAAATATCTAATGTGCCCGTACAAAATAAAAACTAGATAATAGCTATTACATGTTCTAGGTAAGAATAGGTACCTATGTTCTCAAAATCTTGCCTAAAAAACCTTCATAACACATAACCGGAAAATCCGTGATCCATGAGGGAAAAAATATTCTTTTAAAGAAGATATCCGTCAAGAACAAATAAACAAGTTCTGTAAGTTTATAACGTTAGTACCTGTAAAACTCCAATCTAACCTAAGCGGCTTCGTTTAAGCCGGAATCGAACCGGTTCCTGTTGCATTATCACATATTATAGAGTAAGCATAAACTGCATAGCGCTGTATACATTAAGTTAATTTATTATACATTAAGTTAATTTATTAAGTTCTCATCTACATACATCATTATAAAAGCAAGATGCAAGAAGGAACAAACCTATATTCTATTTCGTTATGTAGGTAATAAATAATAAATATATATGACAAATATTGAGTTGTATAAAGAAAAGAATATTTACTTTTTTCTGCGTTAATGTACACAAAATAACAAGTTGCTACAAGGGCAGCACACAAAATATCTTTTGGGACTAGGCGTGGTTTAAATATGAATTAGTATTAATAAGAAGTGAGGAAAGGGAGACATGACAAGTGTCAAATATAAAGAAGGAAAAGAGGACTACAAACGTGGCCTTATGATGTATGTACTTGTACTATACGGCCGACGTATCTTGGCGAGTCTGAAGTTAGCCGTTTGTCTGCGCAATGCATCTTTTAGGAACAAAATTGTGTACTGCGCAGCTAATCGGCTAACTTCAGACCCGCCAAGATACGACGGCCGTACTATACACTATATCATTAATACTCAAACGTGAACTGTCGGCAGGCGCTCATCTAGTAACGATAGTTCTAAATGGAAGCAATCAAGAAAGTCATTAAAATCGGAGACGAGACCGACCACATGGGAGATTGAAATGTCTTATTTATAAATAGCCGTAGTTGGTTAGTTATGTAATAATTATTATTTATAATATTATACGCGTGTATTTCGTTAGTTTAAGAATCTCGACGAGTTGATTTTTTTTCTAAGCGATAGGTTGGCAAACGATCAAACTGATTACCTGATGGTAAGGAATCAGCGCCGCCTCTGAACACCCGCGACAACGGAGGAGTTACGAGTGCGTTGCGTACCTTTTGGGGATTAGGGATTTGGAGATTTTGGGATATGAGAAGGGAAGGATTGGCCTTTGGCAATAAATATTTTATTAATGTGTAAAATTGAATGAAGAATTAACTGAATGATTAGCGCAGTGCTGGAGAACCGAATACATGGCAACGCGTCGCTCGGAATTGCGGGTGCATCGCGGAGGAGAAGAAATAGGTTATAAAAGAGTCTGACACTCTCTCTCGCCCGCTCAGGGCTGGGGAAGTTATTTGATGATTTACCCCTCAAGAATAAACAAAGTAGATAGCAATTTCGCATGGAAAAGTGCTATGTGCAATCCGCAAATAATTGTTTCAGGTCTGGTTGTGACATGTTTGCAAGATCAATCAATTGTAAGTCCAACCAAAACACAGGAGAAAATCCTCACCCTCAACCCAAAGTATAGGCAGTATAGAGTGAAGATTAACAAAATTCTTCTACTAACAAAATTATTTGTACTCTTCAAACCCCAAACGAACGCCGGCGTTCGCGAACATGTACTGTTCTTCTACTCGGTTTCGAATTAGCACGATTGTTAGGTTAATATATATAAAATATCACAATACATATCTTTACTCTTTGCAAAACTTCACGACCTTGATACGCAACAGATGGCACAAGTTAATTATCATACGTAATTATATTTATTTAATGTGTAATATACACTGCAAAACCACACGTACATACACAGATTATGTTGGACGTCTATACCAACTGATTATTATGTATGTAGAACAAAGGATTTATGTAATGTTTAATTTTATTGTACGAATGTTTTTATATGAAGATTTGATGTAGAAAAACTGATTTTAATGTTTCGTATATTAAGGTTGGAAGTTATCTTCTTTCGTCTCACAATCCACGCGATAAGAAGGACCTCAGAAATTATGGTGAGTCTGCTTACTTTAAGACGATCGAAAAGTTTATGAAGTTCGGCGCTCTGAGTGGCCTGCTTCAAGTTTATTAACTGATTGGATCTGATTCGCACCGGTGAACCATTTTGTAGGAAGCGGAACTTTAGGACATTCTTTATAAGCCTATCTATACTAATATTACTTATAAAGCTTAAGAGTTTGTTTGTTAGTTTTAACGCGCTAATATCATGAACCAATGTTTCGAATTAAAAAAAATATTTCTGTGTTTAATAGACCATTTACTGAGGAAGACTATAAAGCATCACGCTACGATCTATAAGAGCCGAGCAGCGAGAGTAACTAGTACATATTTATATATGCACCACAAAGACACAGAGTGAAATGTCCGCATTATCTCTAATAAAAAATAATAAATAATGCGGACCAAGATAGAACAATAATTGGGAAACAGTATACAGTGACGTATTTGATAATCTTCACTTATTAAGAAAATCCGCACCGTTTATATTTCTTTTTGCAGGACAGTCTTACTAGTGTTATGTAAATAATATAATAATAATCGGCAAATCATTTTTTTTTTATGTCATTAGTCGGCAAACGAGCAGACGGATCGTAAGCAATCAGCGTCACCCATGGACACCCGCAAACGGAGGAGTTACGAGTGCGTTGCCGACCTTTTAGGTATTAGGGACTTGGAGATTTAGGGATTGAGGAAGGATTGGGGGAGGGGAAGGATTGGGACTCCGGTAACCTCACTCACACGGCGAAACACAAACGCCGTGGTTGTTTCACGCTGGGTTTCTGTGAGGCCGTGGTATCACTCCGGTCGAGCCGACCCATTCGTGCCTAAGCATGGCTCTCTCACACTTGGACACAATAATTTAAATTCATACGCAAATGAGTAAAGTGATAGTAGTGTACATACCTGTGTCGCCCTCTGGTGTTAATGTGCCGCACCTCACGACCGCCACTGCTTTCCCCGTCACTGCCTGAACCCGGAATCTCCATCGTGTGGGATGACACTGATTTGCTCACCTAGAGACAAAGAGAAGGAGTAAGTACCATTGTCAGAGATATTGATTATGTGTTACTATAAAAAAATCAATATAAACGCGAGATTACACACTTTCGCAATGTATTTTAAGAATCGAACCTGGATAGAAACAATGCTTACAGTAAATATTTGTCATTTAAAATGTTGATTGACATGAAAACTGGGATATTCGATAAAAATAACAGACTTGAGTTGATTGGAGACTACTGATTACCACTACTAAGGAATCGAATCATTTAAAGAACTAGATAACAAAGACGATCCTTTATATAAGAACTGAATTACATTGCCTTACTGTCAAAATTATTATCCATTTTTTTGTGTTAAAATTGGAGTTATTTCGTATTTTATAAATATTGTATTGAAATTGGATTTATTTAATGTTTAATTATTTTATATTTTATTTTATTTCATATTCAAATTAAATATCGGTTCTTTCTGTTCTTTCTTTCAAAATTTAAACTTTATTAAACAAAAAGGGGCCAGGTTTTTTCTTCTGAGTTGTGGGTGCGTTTACAAAAAAACAATTACACATTCAAATCACACCCAGAACCGGAACAACGATTTGTGGATCACACAAAGAGTTGTTCCGTGCGGGAATCGAACCCGCGACACATGACGACTTACTTTGACACTCAACAACAACGATAAACCACATAACGATTTGAAACATAAAAATATCAAAACTTACAGGAGGAATGTATTTTCTGACAGCAGCTGTTAGTTCGTCAATACTCTTCTCCTTCTTCACAGGGTCCAGACCGAAGAACTTGTTCTTAGCAGCCTGGTTCAACGCAGATATCTTCAGCACTGGAGGTGGTACTTCTTGAGGTGGTGGTGGCACTTTCTCAGCAGGCCTTCTCAATTTGCCCAATTGAATAGGCTCATCAATCTTCTTAACGAATCTTCTGTATCGAGTCTGATCGTCTTCCTTCTTCGCCTCTTCAGAAGGTTTCCTGCCAAGTTTCCCCAGCATTGGGATTTTAACATCGGGGTTTTTGGCTTGTGTCAACCTCTCCTTTAATTCATTCGCTCCTGGTAACTTGATTTTGCAGGGGAATGCTTCTGGATGTCTTGGTATATCTGATTCCGTTCTAGAAGATTTCAATTTGTTCGGTTTACGTTGGAATCTTCTAGGTTTCGGGTCTGGGAGCTCGTCGGAGCTGTCTGACGATGAGCAGCTTTTCTCTGATGATGATACGCTCGAAGATACTGAGTCTTCGTCTGAAGAACTGTCGATGCCTTCGTCCTTAAGGCCCTGTAACAATCAATGTGAATATTTAGTACATTAGAAATATTTAACTTAAACTTGACTCGAATTGGTACATAATTTTGTAATAGTTTAGTACGATAATGATAAAAAACATCAGTTATTCCCAAAAAAAATTAATGTAGCAAAAGGCAAGTAAAGTATGGGTGCTTAATGTTTATATGAATTGATAAGAGTGTAAGTGCTCCTACGACAACAGATAATATCATAGAGAGTCTGATAAAAGACGTACAGAAATATGAAGAACTACTATTTACACTAAGATTTCTGCCGTGTCTTGAGTGCATTTACAAACATAAAATTTCAGATACGCATCACACTAAGACACGGAACAACATTTCTAGATGGCATTTAGAGTTAGGATGTAATCGTGTCAATAAAGGTCATATGCATTTAAATCATATACTGAGTTCTCAAACTATTACAACATACAGGTGAGTCGTGCCAATATTCAGAACATCTGGAGTTGTGATCGACAATGACATCAACGTAACTGACCTAGGTATTGCATATACATAAATCCCTACGTTACATAACTAAGGTGACTAATGCTGAATGTGTTTTAATACTTCTGCCATATGGCTTGAAGTTGCCATATGGATAGAAAGTCTCAGGGTAAATGTTCAGCCAGGGTTACGGAGCAAACGCAATAAGGTACTGCGGCCTTGGCCTGGACCTGGAGAAGGAGAAGGGGTGGTTTTTATTAAGTAAGAGCCTTACAACTGGCCGAGAGAAGACAGACGACAATTCTACACCTCAATAAAAAAAAACGAGTAGAACATCTGTCATTTATGTGTCAATGATTACGGGTGAAAATTGCAAAGCACGATCTCATTTTTTACAAAAACGTGCTTACTGGTTATTCGACTTTTGTTTGATGTATAATTTACAAAAATATCATATCAACTTATAGATTTAGGATGTACACAGACTACTACAGACAGTACGCGACAGTCGCCGCGTCGCGTGTAGCGGAATGCTGTTCCTGAATATGAGCCTCTAGCATGGATTGAAACTAGTCGAGTTCTTCGTCAAATAATTACGTGAGTAAGACGAAAACATAATAATTAATGTACAGATAAATATGAAGTGAGAGTATTGTAGGTGTATTTTGCCTTCTTGTTGTATATTAAAATGAATCAATGTTCCTTACTAAAGCTCAAGAAAAGTCTAGACCAACTTCTTTATTTTCTCCTTGCAATATTTGTTGCAGTCTAGGTTTAAACGGTGAGAAAATATGGTAAGTAAGAAACTAAAACTGAGAATAAGTCAGAAAAAAAAAGAATAAGTCATGCAACATGTTTCGGTATTTCTTCTTAGAGAAGTCAGATAGAAAATGCCGGCTTCATCTAGTTTTTTACATATAATTTTGACGTGCAAAGTGCTGTTTTATGTCCTATTTACAAAAATAAATTAATTGTTTCATTGTTTTAGTGCAACTTAAGTCAGTTACAATGTTAGTGCAAAATTTTGACAATCTCTATTGAATTCATAACTTGCTACTTTACATTGAAAACAATGCAAGTACGAGCCAAAATAGTGGACGATGCATACCAAGAGCATTACGCACAGAATTAGACTAACATACAGACATACGGAGCTATATTTATTGACTATAGTTAATGTAGTTACGTACATTGATCTATTTTAGTTTATATCAATATCGGTCGAGCTCATATATTTTTTTAATGGCTTTAAAATTAGGACGCTAGGAAATAAACTGATTGAAATAGAAAATTACGTTGGGATTTTTACAGTCATCTTTCTTATATAATTCGGAAGATTTAATTATTGTGACTTTTCAATGAAATCAATCATTATTACTAATTTAGTTTTTTCTAGCATTTTTTTCAGAATAGCATACTTATTGCTATTTGAAAATAATTATGGCGTGATGTTTTCGATTTAATACAAAAATCATAGAAAAGTAGCGTTTTTGACATTACAATAAAAGTATTTGACTATTTGGAAACTACCTTACTACTAAATGACTAAGTACTGTTGTTGCTAAGCAACTGAGATCTTAAGTAGGTTTTAGACTTAGGGTAGAGGAAAATTTATGAACTAGTGGGGTCAATTAATTATAAGCCTTATTCAGGATAGTATGGATGTAAGTATAGCGTGATTAGTAATTAGGTGTAGAAAAAAAGCAAAGGGTATACTAACTGTACAAACCTCTGAGCTTTCTCCCTTGGCTAAGGTCTTGGGCCTGGAAGGTACAACAGTGGAGCCAGACTTGAGAATGCCCCTAACTTCGGGCGTTATCATACGCTGAGCCCGCTCCGATGGAGAATCGTCATTCAAATCTGAAACATGACAGTTAAATTAAAAAAACAATACCATGAAAATTAAACGCCCCCTGTATATACAAAGCGTCAGATACATAGGTAGAAGATTAGTGAAGCCGAAAGACGGTGGTTGTCTAATCTCTCATTAAAATAAATTTGTTAAATTAACTAACACATTTTACGACATATCAATCATATTAATAAAAGAAAAACAACATAAAAAACTACAACATCGTAACAATATTTCTTTGCCTTCAAATCCTTAAAAACTTCAAAGAGAAATTTCTTAGTTAAAATCAAAAGAATGTAACATTTTTCTAGTATGACACAATGGCTAAAATAAAATTGGCTATCCCGTGGCGTCCCCACCTACGTATCTGTGTCGTGACCTTAAGAAAGCGACCTCATGGGTTTTGACAGCTCTCCATGACTACACACCGTTATACCAACGATATTCTTGCGGGATATACAATTTCAATAATATTTCTGAGTAATATCGAGCAAGGCAATGACTAACTGGATTATTGAGCTCAAAATATAACAAAGTGCTCTGTTAAATATCACGATTCATGTCAAAATCTCAGTGGACGTCACGGATTATTCGGAACACGTTCAGCGGTGCATGCACTCGGTTTAATTGTTACTCAAGCCTCGCAATATTATCCACGTGTTTCTTACAAAATAACTCTGCAATGTCAGACGTCATAAAATAACAAAAGAACTCGACCAAACAACGAATATATTACGACAAATTACACAACACCCGCATTGTATAAACCTAACATGTTAAAATAATTAATACAACAAAACGTGCGATTAGATCGTGCAAAGTTAAACAGCATGCACTGGATATACACAACTTACGGCTACAATATTACACCGATGATATTAGTACCGATCGAGCCCAGAGAAGCGAAACTGTTCAAGCAAACGACAAAGTCAAACTCAAAATAATGAACAAATCAGACCTAAGCTCCTAAACTTGGCGTTCTGCCTCATAATATACTCTAAAGACGTGTTCTTGGCGCTGGCCGAACGGAACAGCTCCATTTTCAATTGAAAATCGTTATTACGGGGCACATCGTCGTGAGTGAGCGACTTGGTGAGGCGCTCGTTCTGGTCCATGGCCTGCTGCAGCTGGCTGGCGAGCACCGGCATGGTCCGCAGGCGGCCGGCCCGCGCCCGCGCCGCGCTGCCCGACCCCGCGCCCGCGCCCGCCACAGGCGGCTTGTGCGTCAGCTTCGAGTTAAACATCTTCATCTTCTCCGACAGCGACATCTTCGCCGGGTCGTCTTCGTCTAACTTAGCTGCCACCGGTGAGTGTGTGCGTATTTACATAACATTGTGCAGTTGTGTTTACGATAGAGCCCGGGACATACACATAGTAGAGTAGTCGAGGACATGCAAAAAAGAAACAAAAGCCGACGGTACATAAGACAGAAAGCGAATATTTTGACTGTAATGCAAAATGTACATGCCTTTGATCGCGGTCAATTACTATTTAATTGCTTTAAAAAAAATAAAAATATTTCAAGTTTTACGAAAAGTACAAAACTCAAAGATACGTTTACGATTTCTATTGAACTGCAAAGCCACTGTGTTATAATAGTTGGAGGCTTACCATCTTCATCTCTGTCGAGCACGTTGGCAGTGCTTTTCGATTGAGGCAGCGGGACCGCTTGCTCATCGGTAGACTCGTTCGGACTGACCACGGGCGCTGGGAAGGATATCGGCTGGCTTTTAAACCTGTCCGCCACGGAAGGTCCCTCCTTCAACTTGGAGCGACTGTGACGGAGCAGAGGTTTTGGAGTTCCTGGAAAATACATGTTTGCCAATGTCATAAACAGATATAACGTGTGAATCATGAAGTTTGGAATTATATAGATTACTTGGATACTAAAAAAGATATTTATAATTTTATTCGGATATCCGAATGGCATCGGATGCCTGCTATAGGCAAGTCGTAGGTACATTCCAGTGGTAATTAATTAAAACGAAGTATTCAATTAAAGCTTGTTTTTAAGAACATCTGTTTTACGATGTTTCGTTAAGATTATCCGAAAGTAAATAATTACCTTTAGCCTGCTGCTGCAGCTGTTGCCACATACTGGCCCGAGCCACGACACTGTTACTCTTGACCAAACCGAGCGCGAATCCACTTGGTTCCCTGTTCTCGTCATCGCTGCCTGCTTCTTCGGGACTCCTCAGAGCCTCGTTCTCGGTGGACTTCCTCTCACGGTCCATGGTGAGAAGACCACGCTCGATAGACGAAGAAGACCACTCGTTGCTACTACTGTTTGTTGCGTGATTTTCCCTGATCTCTTGGCTTTCAATTAAGCCAAGCTCCTCGCCTGAAATATTAGCAATTCATATTTTAGAGAGGAAATATTTCGACCAATTATCAAGAGCAAACTGTCCAAAATGTAAATTTGTATTTATTGAACCGTCTTTCACTTGTTCATATTTCAATGTCAACGAAGAATTAAGTAAAAAACGACACAAATCGCTTAATAACCGATTAATCTACCTTCAAGTAATGCAATGACGTTTGACAAAGAACACGTGCATTACATTGACCCAAATAAGTGGGCCGAGAGACATCTGCAAGGTTATACTGTGTTTATTTTCAAAACCGACCTAATACGAATAGCGGCGCATTCGGTAAAATCTAATTTTACCAAACAGAACGTAAACAAACCGCAAGTTAACGCCGGCCGCGCCGGACACAACTGATCGCTTTCATATGGGTACTTTATGACACTGACACTTGTCATTATCCTACACACTAAATAAGCCGATGTTTTACACTATAGTGCTCTGCACGCTCGTTCTGATAAAAATAAGTTTACGAGTTTAATAAACTAACCAACTGGCCAGCGTCATTAGTGAATTTTCAGAGAAACACTTACCGGAATGTGGACCGGAATCTCTGGAGGAAGCACGGTTATACACTCCACTGTCACACGACACATTCAAGCTCCAGTTGTCGGCCTCGGCTTGTTGCCTTTCGTCTTCTTCTAGAACGCGACTGTCCTCGTCTAACGCCACGCGCACTTTGTTCACTTCTTGTTCAATTTCATCCAACGTTGACTGTTTCCTTCCAGAATTTACGTCGATGTTTTCAAAGTCTAGAAATGTTGCTTCACCGTAGCTGTCGTCCTTGGTACTACCACCGTCAGAAAACCCATTGGCTGTAGTAGGAGACTTGGCATTGAACGAGATTACACCGTACGGTGGCGATTCCAATGCCTGCGCGAAGTCTGCGAAGGGATCTGGTTCGGGTTCCCCTGGTAGGGGATAAGGGCCCCTGATAGAGGGAGCAATACCGGACTCGACGGGTCGGCTCGGAAAACTACAGCCCGCGGGGCCGAACGCTGGGAAACGCGCTTGGCCCGGTTCCAAACTGCGAAATGAGAAAAGAAACATTTTAAAGTAGAACACACCCGTACATAAGAAAGAGACGGTCGCTGTTTCAGTTCGCCTTCATAAATTTCGATAAATTATGGCGTGAGTGATTGGATCGGCGTCGCCGATCTATCGTTTTAGGGAAGTTTGACACCATCAGCAATATACGCTAAATATAAATGTCTGTTCTCGATTTGAACGTTATCGATCGAACCTCGATCGATATTCGATCTATAATGGATTTACTGCCGAATAGCAAACGGTCATAATTTTATGTAAGTGTTTATTTTTTCGTTGTGTTTATAGTACTACAATATTTACTTATGTACGTAACATTTGTTGTACAATTATGGCGCTATTTGGCTTAAAATATATAGGATTGTATTATTTAACACGACAAAGTTTTCAGACGAGGTTTTTGATGCAGTTAAAAACGGTGTTCACGTCGGGCAATAGTTGCATTTCAATGGATAAGCATTAAGGGAGCGCGTAGTTAAGCGCACAGCCGGATCGGTCATAAAACTCTTGATGCGTGCTTTGAAGCACAACAGATCCAGAAATAGTGCTTGACCCACTAACGACTGGAGCGCTTATTTCCGTCATCAAGACAGCGCCAGCAAATGTATTAGTACTATGTCGAACCAATATTAATTACAATCAATTAACTAAAACAAATCTTAGTGATTTTTTTGAAGCATCATAGTCCAATAGTGTAGTACAATAATAAAGGCAATCAGTTCGTAACGACTGAGTGCAGATTTGGATTTATTCTTATTTTAGTTCAGCGAGACAACGCCAAGTCGCTAGGATGAATAATGCGGTAGCATTTGTTTAGTAGGTAATGCCAACACTATAAAAAGATATTTTGACAACAATCAAAGGAACACCTACTGTACCTACATCCAAAACATTTGTTACTTGCAAAATATATACTTACATAACAGATTTCTGGCTTAGTTCTACATTTTAAATTTACTACAAAGCATGTTTCTGGTCCTTTCAATTTGGCCCCTTCATTTAGCTTCCCTTAATTCTTTTGGGTACTAAGTTATGTTTTATCTGCTAAGTACTCAGTGGCTAAGAGGTAAAGATACCGCTTCTCATAGATGAGAGATTGGCGGGTTCGCAAGTACAAATATGAGCTTTTCAAGATGTAATTGTTTGGAAATTGACTGCACGGTTGGCGCGGTGGCTGGGCAACTGGCTGCCGCGCGACGTGTCGCGGGTTCGATTCCCGCACGGTACAACTCTTTGTGTGATCCACAAATTGTTGTTCCGGGTCTGGGTGTGATGTGCATGTGAAATTGTATGTTTGTACGCACCCACGACACAGGAGAAAATACTAGTGTGTGGCTTTTTTGTAAAAAAAAATCATAAATCAATTATTTTGTAACATTATTAAGACACTACAGACAAACAGTTAAGGAAAACATAGTGAGGAAACCATAACTTATAATTTATAATTATAAGTTTAAAATCGCCAATTTGACTTGAGCAAGTCTATAGTTAGTGCTCAAACCCTCTCCGTCTGTGAAGAGGTCTTTTTGCAGTGGGCGCTCATAGGCTGCTGATATGATAATGTAAAGATTCAATAGCAACGCCTTTACCCAATTGAGAAACGACCAGAAGAATTGATAATAATAAGAAAACAATGGCCGAAATAGTATTCGAAATCATTTTAACAAATTTTCATCACTTTATTTATTTTTTCAGCATATTTAATTATTCAGTTGAAGTAACAGATTACTTACAGTTCTATGAGCGGCCAATCCCAAATAAAACGATGCATGCTTGCAAAGAATTCACACAGGAAATAGTACAAAAGCAATTTCCAAACAATTTAATGTATCTGCACAGTCCAAATTTAATTCTTACGCTATTCACTGCCAGTGTGAACCAAACAACAACTGAGGGAACGGGAATGATGTCAGAACATCGAAGAACACAAATTAGCACACGGTACGCGCAAGGTTTTCATAAAGCAGTTAATTACGAAAACCACGTCTAGAATCCTCATTAGAAGCAAAGGATTAGCCTTCAAAGAGTTGAAACTCCGTTAAGAAGGGAAACCTTAAGAAATTAGCTGATGTGTTTAAATTTAAATTAAGTTCTTACTAAGAATATGTATCTACATATGTAAATAAGCTTCTATGAACCAATTTAGAGCATTGATAATGAAGTTTTTTCATTAACTTGACTTAATTAACTACGATTCATATAAAAACTCTATTGCTCTTGAGTGATTGCTTCATATTACGGTAGTGGAAAATGATAATGCAAACACGAATAAGAAAATAAAAACATGTGGATGACTAACTAACCATCTGGACAGCGCAATGTATAGTTCGGAACAAAACATTCGATGAACACAGCCCACGTGTAGCGTGGGCCGCTCACCCATCAAAATAATGGCAATGGGCCAACTTTTAGATCTGAACACCGGTCGCAGCACAATCACCTTTGCAAAGAAAGTCATATTTAAGGATGTCAGATACTAAGAACAAAATATACGATGCAGAATAAACAGAAAGCGAACATATATCAACTCTCAAGTCAAGAAGACATGGGAAAAATGGTAAATCATACGATATTTAAAATGCCATCACAACAAACAATAAAATCAACAAGTTAGTGCACGCTGTGTGGGACGAGCCACGACAGATGCAATGACTTTCAATTCTAGTGTGATCTAAATAAATTTCTCATTTAAAAGTAAAAGACATTTAAATTAAAAATAAAACTAGTTTTACCTGGATGTTATCGACCGCATCTCTTCCACTGTGATAGGCTGAGTTTTGTAGCGTTCCTTGTCACGAGTTCTTGCTTTAGAAGTAGAAGGCTGGTCTCTGGGTGAAAGGTCTTTAGTCAGTGCTTGCTCCATGGATTTAATTCTGGAAGCAATTGATGGAAACGATTTGGGTTTACTTTCGTCCCCTACCGCGTCGTTAAACGCGCTGTCCCAAGGTTCACAAAATCCGTTTTCACAGTTCTCATCAACTTTTTGCCGTCGGTTGTTCAATATATATAACAACTCATCGTTCACATCACACGCGAGACTTTTAGACCGAGGGTTTGTCTTCGGCCGGAGATTCCTCCGGCGGAGCACTGCACTCGGATAGCTCTCTTCCGGGTTAGGCGCGGGCGCGAGATTCAAGACTCGCCGCGGTCCAGCCGCCGACAAGTCGTTCGCGTCGCAACTGAAATTCGTCACACTAATAATGTTCGCATCGTTGTCCGCGCAAAAAGAGAGCCGTGGGCGCGGGGATTGGCTGCGTTCCCTAGTCAAACTCGAACCTCTCTGCTTTAAAATAGGTCTTACTGCTGTTTCACACTCCGATCCTGAATGGTCAGATGTCCTGGAACGTAGGAGTGAAGGCCTTCGGGAGCTTCGGTCGTCTTCGCTCAAATCGAAACTAGAAGCATGTCCTTCGTCTCCAGACAACTTTTTCGATGACTTCAGAATCGGCTTTTTAGGCAGGTCGAAATCGTAATCATCAAATTCGGTCGATTTTTTCTTAAGTATGGGTTTGGGTGTATCCGATAGCACAACATCTGGAGATGGTCGTTCTTCTGAAAAACTCTTTTTCTTTAATATTGGTCTGACAATCTCTTTATCGTCATCTACTATTTCTGCACCACCTGCTGCTGCTAATAACACAGCTTGAGCAATAGAAACATGAGATGATGCAGTACTGCTACTTGAACTAGAATTAGATTTTCGTTTCAGTATGCCATGGGGCTCAGGCGAACTTTGAGACAGATCGTCGGCGTGATGTTCTTCTTCTCGGCTCATTTTTCTTTTAAGTATTCCCTGAATTTGACCGTCTGGTGATCTGTTCCGCACAACATCTTCTAAAGACGATCTCCTATTTTTCAAAATGGATTTGTTTGTTTCTAAAGAACCATCTTCAGCAAAGGACACTTCAGGACTGCAAGATCGTCTTCGAGCTACTTGCGACTCGTCTAAGCTGCGACGTTTCTTTAGTATCCCTTGTCGCTGTCGGCTTTCAGACCGGCCGTTCCGTGGTTCGACAACGCTTGGTGAAAATGTAACTGGAGGGGATGCGATTGCTTGATTAGTAGTATTAGATGCGGCACTGTCTTCGTGAATAGATTTTCTTTTTAAAATAGACACTGGCGTATGACTACAGGACGTTGATGAAGTATCAAGACGGCGACTTTGACTAGACGTATCGTTATTGAGATCAGAAAACATTGCACTTTGCTTTTCAAAATCAATCAGTCTCTGAGCTGCCGTGTCTATATCTCTTAACCTTTCTGTTACTCCTCTGTTATGTACAGGCCTTTCGTGATTAATTAAACCATAGTTGTATGCGTGATTGTTATGTTTTAGTTCAGATTTGGGTGCGAATATGGAGTCAAAACGAGGCTCAGGTGTGTCTAAATTTATCTTATTACTAGTTAAGTTATTCGACAATTTGTTAACCCTATCTAATGTCTGTTTAGTCAATGCAGCTAAGCTGTCCATCTCCTGAGAAAGTCTAGAACTATGCGGTCTAACAGTTTCGTGAAGTGTAGACATCTTAGTAACTTTAGAATTTTCTAGTCCACAAGCATTTAAGTTTGGTTCTTGGTTAGCTCGGGAAGTAGCATTCGAAAGAGTTTTAGGCGAAACGTTTTTCTCATTCGATTTTCTTGGAGAATTATTTTCTAAACTAGTCAGTCTTTTCTTTGAATAATGATATTTTTCGCTAAGACTTTCACTATCTTTTTGAGCTCGATGTCTTCGATCAATACGATTGTTTTCTGTATCACTCTTGGCTTTTTCTGGACTCCTGCGAGTTGATCTATTTCTAGGCGTTTCTGCTTTCGATCTGCTTGAAATTGTGTCTCGGGTTAAGTCCTGCTTAACTGGCGATGTAGATGTCCGCAAATTTCGATCAGTGGATTTCTTGGATAGAGGTATGCAACTAGGTTTTGAACCAGAATCAGGACTTCGACGCCTGTCATAAGTCTTTTGGGGAGTGGAATTTGGAGGTGAAGACTTAAGTGGAGTCGATTTGATTCCAAAAGATAAGTTTAAAGTAGTTTTAGGAGATACTTTGGAAGACGGCAGTGAGCTTTCAGTCTTGGAGTGTGGTGCTTCAAGGGACCGGCGTGATCTGGGTTTTGCGACACTTCCTGCAACAATAGAGAAGTAAAAATTACAATCTAATAAAATTGTTGTTATTCTATTCACTGAATCACGGTCAACGGGTTTGGACGGAAGAGGAAGCTGTTGACCCGCACGTGTGTATTGTTCTACAGAAGTTCACTGACTGGTGCGCAAGCGTCGATTCGTGTGTTATTTTGCGCGATATGGCAGACGGTGCCATTGTTGTTGTAAGTAGGTAACGAGCGCCGCATTGTATTATGTAGATACTTCCATTACATACGATTGAAGATCTAATTGTGTTTATATTGGAGACTAAAAAGTAGCACAAATACCGCTTAAGAATATAATGGATCATGAGCTCATAGAATGTCCATATTATTATGTATTTCAACAAACATACCAAAATCAGTAGATAAAAGTACTTTTTTCTAGAACAGAAAGAACTATTACAAAACTCAATATACTATTGAACATATTGAAATGAAACACCCTACTTTCATAAATCTAGTCTGCCTAAAAGTTTTATAACGGCTTCAATGCTGGTGATATTGACGTTTCAAAAATATATTTAGACTACCACCGTAGGTCGCTATCGAGGCTTGAATAAGTTATGTTAGGCATTTACGGAATTATTCTGAGCACTAAACAATGTACCTACATAACAAGTTATCGGCATGGTAAATATTAAACGATTTTCAATAAAATATTTTACCTTCAAGAAATACCGTTTACTAACATCGGCATCGTCGATTTATAATCGATTAACTAAATAAATATTAGCTTTAAAATAATCAATGTTTTTGTTTTAAAAAGCTTTTGAAACCCTGTATCGTGTTTTTAAGCCCGACCAGTCAATAGCGAAGCCAACAGGTAATTATCTATTGGGCCCGGTGGGCCGGACGACATCCAATCATGTGCGAAACGTCGCAGGCTAGAGTCGATGCGGTTTTTGTCCATTATACGAACAAGTACCTACCTACTTACTCTAATATATTATATCCAAAATGTTGGAGAAGTTATCGGCTGAACACGTCAGTCGCTCCGATAAAGTATTTAATTAATAAATGACGATAATTTTTGCAATAGTGTTCTCCTTTCATCCACTTTACATTACAAAAGTAACACTTGCACGTCAATCGCTTGTGAATTCATTAAAGCTTCAGCAATTTCAAACTGCATGTGTCAAAACATTGAATAGTAAAAAAAACCTCAGGTTTGGTCGAAAACTGTTGTGTCCTTCTTTTCTCGTACATTGATTCCAATCTATAAGATAATATAATATTTTTCTTAAAAAATAGCAAAGAATTAAATGAAATCAACAAAGCTTTTGAAATATAAGCCCAGTATTTTCTGTATAAAATTCAATTATATCAGGCGACGCTTAGGAACGTGCTGTGTGTACGATCGCGTCGGGTCGCATACAGACGGGACCGACTGCATTTTTTATGAAACGCAGCGTATGAGTTAGGCATGTTAAAATTGGAAAAGTTTTCCATTGCATAGCGGTACTGTGATAGAAATAAAAATCCTCTACTAATTCCCTTGTGGTTTGTTTGAATTTAATTGGTGAGATCAATAGATGAATAGCGGTGCAATAGTTTTCAGTCAAGAGAGAATACATTATTTTATGTTATTGTCAATTTTTGGGAAACATAGAATGGTGTTCTAGATTGAGACAGATTCAGACAACCAATTTTATCGGTCTTCTACTAAACTTCTACTTAATATAGAAACATAAGATAAAAAGAAATACCCCGAAGATTGACAAAAAGCTATCACTTTTAGCGTTATCTTAAAATTCTGAGAATTGGTTTTTACCAATTTCGATTGTAATTTCTATGTACTTATATCTTATAAACAAATACTTCATAATTTTCTACATAAATGCTTGTCCCTATTACATAAAGAGTCAAATAAGACGATGGAACGGCAGAACAAAAACGTTGATGTATTAAGGAGGTGGGACTATTTTTTAAATTTTTACGCGATTCCTATAAAAAAGAAGAAAACTAATGCTTATGTTTATAAAGCTGAAGTTTTTTTGTTGTTTGAAAGTTTTTACTCTTCCGTATTACTGTTTCGAAATGATTCTTAGTGTTGGATAGTCCAAATATATACCTACCAGCATACCAAGGAAGGCTATATGCTACATAATATAACGCTAAGACAAATAGGAGGCGAGCAGCAGCTGAAGCTGAAGGGGACTACACCCCTGCTGACGATACCTGATACCTGATCAAATCAAGGTATAAAACGAGTGTGGTGTGGACGAGATCTTTTTATATAACATAGGTGTGACAAAATGTGTGTCATCTTGAGAAATAAATAGGTACAAATTGTTTTGATACCTTATACAGAAGATACTATAGAAAAGATGTTTTATTGGCTGAATCTCCACAGATGACGGCTATTAGTTCGGCTGAGCCGTTCCTATCGAGCCGTAACTTATTACCCACATTATCTAAGACTAAAAGATTGTATGTATTAAAAGCTTTGTCCGTCATTATTAGAGCTGTCAGCTTATCTTGGTCGGTCCATTAGTTGATACCTGATATGTACCTATTTTAGCATGGACCACTTAATGTTTGACCTCTAATATCGCATAACAAATTGTAATATAACTAATTTACGTCATTGTTACATGGGTAATGTAGGAATAAGTAATAAACGCTTTCATCTCTGCAAAAGACAAAGGTCGACTGGGAGAAAATGCCAAAGGCATTAAGTTCTCTTGGACATATATTTGTATTTAGTTTCAAAAAAAAAATATCACAGATATCAAGCGATAAAAAAAAACAAATATATTTGTGTACCTATTGTGATTTAAAATTGTTGCATTATAGGACTAAGACTTTTAATTCTACTACAGCAAAAGACTAAATGAAGTTAAAATCGTAAACACAAAAAAAAAACATTTAATAGTTTATTTTGCTTTACATAAAAGACGCATGGAATCCTCCATCCTTAATAATTACATTGACAATCAGTGAAACTCGTATAAAAAGTAAATTCGGTATAATCATATTGCAGGCAAGAGTAAGCTTAACGTGTACTCGAATATATAAGAAAACAAGAATATCACTGTAACATTACTTATAAAGCCAATTATTTGTAACTAATAAATAGGGATGTAGGTATTCTCGAGTACATTTTCCGATCTTATAAAAATGTTGTTTACTGTAAAAAAAAACAACACATCTATTAATTGAATTTGAATATCGAACAGAACACGACAAAAGTATTAAAGACTGAAAGAAAAAAAAAACAAACCAATGGCTGCACAACTCACGCATTCCAGCCAGCACGAGATGTCTCTGCGTTTCGTTAATTCGTCACGAAGGCTTTCCAGCCATCCCTTCTAAAATCAAATTCCTGACAAACCATTATATTCCTTTTTCAAATATTTCCCGCGCAATGGGGGTCACGCGATTATTGTCCCACATACCGTCCTAATTTGTAGTTAGTCGTGACGTCATCTTGCTGTACTTTCACGGTAATTTATTAGTCAGGTATTATGGCGCTCGTAATTGTTACTGCACTGCAATTTATGCAGTTTTTCTAAGTTCTTAATTCTCGGTATTTAGCACAACCAAAATTAAGATGTTGAATAGATAACGTGGTAATACGGTAGTTTCCAACTAGTCAAATTCAATACTTTTATCCAAATGTCAAAAACGATACTTTTCTATGAAATTTTTATGAAAAACTAAGGTATGACGTCATAGTATTTTTGCGTCAAATAGCTTACTTATTCTTGAGAATTAGCTACAAAATATCGAAAACTTAGTGTATCGATCGATCGATGAATAAAAGTATAGTTATTTTTCAATATTTTATTGTATTGAAACGTTGAATTAATTTATATTTGACCTAGGAAACTACCCAATTATAAATGGTATTTTGTCAGCAAAACATATTATTTACTGACAGAATATCACGACTGCATTCAAAGGTTTACATTTTAATAAAACAGTAACACAAAACTCATTTCCATATTAAGGAATTAGTATAACGTTACAAAATTTTAAACAAGACCAGATGACCCGGAACTGAACTTAAACCTAAACATCAGTTCAACAACACCCCATAAAACCTCAATAATTAACTCTATTAGAAAAACAGCATGTTTAAAAAACATCGCAATTAATAAGTCAGTTACAACTCGCAAAACTACATACACACTGTGTGAATTATATCTTCATGTAGATAAACAGTACCCAACTAACTTAACATACTACCTTTTACATATAAATATAAGTTTGTTTGATCATTGTTACACTTCATCTTCAAACAGCAATTAGAGATGCAGAGGACTGCTTTTTAATATCCTATCTATTGATATCAAATCAAATAGAAATTAAAGATTATATTAGCTTAATACATTCATTTCAAATACATGTTATTTATCAGTCACATTCTTAAATTGAAAGAATCTAAAGAAATGTTGTCAAGTAAGAAGTCTGTTATTGAGTAGTAACATTTATCAATAAGAAACTTCCGTACAGTCCTTTTGATTTTAAATTAAGAACATACTGAACATAGTAACATTTTATGCCAAAATTACTGAAGAAATAGACGATATTGAGTACCTACACAGATGTGAGAGAGATAGTGACTAGGATAGGCTGCGCTCACGCTGGTACCTGAAAGGCAGCCTACTCGAAGCAAGGAGGTATAAATTCACGCGGGCAAAACCGCGTTTAACAGCTAGTGAGACATGAACAGATATTCGCGTATTTTCATGTTATACTCAACAGCAAAGCATGTTTGAAAGCTCTAAACGATTTATGAGCCGGCTTCGTACACATTTCAGGGAAAACAAAATAGTTTTCTGCATTCACATCAGTTTTAGATCTACACATATGCGACTGGAAAAATGTTGTGAATGTTCATAAATGTCCAGCGTGCCAAGATGTTTTATGATCATTTAGACTATTGAAATGTTAGTAATAATCTTACAATATTTATCTATACTGATATTACAAAGAGGTAAAATTTTTATGTTTTTATGTTTGTAAGTTTCTAC